ATGCAAAACGTTTGGCATCTAGGATTAAACCCCTTCTGACAGATCTGGTATCTGCAGAACAAGTCAGCTTTGTCCCTGGGAGGCAGGCTGGTGATAACACCAGACACTTCCTAAATTTAATAAATTCGGCAATATCCGGTAAACAGTGGGGGACAGTTCTGACACTCTGAGCTGAGAAGGCGTTCGATCACCTGAGCTGGGACTACATGCAAGCCACCCTTCTCAAAATGGGATTCTCAACCTCCTTTTTAAACGGAATACTGGATTAATACAAATCCCCTTTGGCCAAGGTCTTTAATTCAGATTTTTTTATCCAACACTTTTTTTATTAGCAATGTCACCCGGCAGGGTTGCCCACTCTCCCCACTCATTTTCATTTTATGTTTGGAGACTCTTGTGGGTCACATCAAAACTTATACTGAGATCGTAGGCCTCACCACCCCAGTGGGCTCACAAAAGTTAGCATTATTCGCAGAAGATGTTCTGCTATTCCTCACCCAACCAGAAAAATATTCCCCGGCATTGATGGAACTGCTAAACCATCATAGGACTATATCCTACTACAATAAAAAGCTCAAGAAAACTCAGAAGCTCCCATCTTGCCTTCCTACAAACATTACACAAGCATTGCAAACACTACAACCCTTCGACTGGAGAAAATCAAGTAAAATACTTGGTCATAAATCTGAGAAAAACAAGTTCAAAACTCATTCAGGAGAACCATATGACACTTTCCTATAAACTGCAGGTACAATTAGATAAGTGGCAAGACTTAAAGGTATCGTGGCTGTGATGCACCCATACTGTCAAAACGATGTCATTACCCCATCTACTATATCTGCTCCGAACTATCCCCAATGCCTTACCAGACAGTCTTCTCGAGAAATTCCAATCTATTTTTAATGCATACATATGGAAGAAAAAAACACTGAGGATAGCTAGGAGATTATCATGGCTTCCCACAAACAAGGGAGGCTTGGGCATCCCTAACATTAAAGCATATTATAAAGCCTCAGTACTAGTGCAGGGATTGGAGGTTCTGTCCTGCACCAAACCTCCGATATGGCTCCCCCTAGAAAATGCCTGCATTGACCCGGACACGATCGATCAGAAACTGTGGACCTTCTCGCAGGCGGGCCATAACACAATAACCAAACTCCCCAGGTGTTCTTACTTTCAAGCTGGAAAAGATGGGCTCGAAATTTTATAGGTCCAGAGAACTTTCTTTCTTTTGCTCCCCTGACAACGCTTCACACTCTATCCAAGGATATTCCATTAGGGCCTTGGATCGATAGAGGGTTATCGGCCTTATTTACAGTAAATGACCTTGAGCACTTCCCACATTTACAGACAGAATTTTCACTCTCCTTTAGGGGAATCTTTACATACATTTGACTCAAACACATCATAAACTCTGCAAAAATACAACACTGTGGGGAAACACAACTGACAACCTATGGCCAAAGCTACATAAATAACCAACACTCAAATCATTCTCTCTGTGCTACAATGCACTTAGCAATGCTGACAGCACTGACAAACATCCCTATATGCTGTTGTGGAAAAAGATTTCAATACGACAACTCCCCTCCCCTCATGGCTACAAACACTCCAAACAACACATTCCTCATCCAACATCCTTTGCCATTGGGAATCGAACTGCAGAATACTTATGAAAAGATATCTGGTCCTGGTCAAATTGGCCGAGATTTACCAAACAACCTCTTCATTATGTTGGAGATGTGGCGGTCGGGAGGGCACATTAAAACACATTTTTTGGACTGCCCCAAGCTGACAAAGTTCTGGCATCAAGTAAAGGAGTCTATCTTTAAAATAACCTCAGTGACAATGCCCTTCCGACCGGAACGCTTCTTCCTACATATATCCCCAGAAATCCTAACCTCATCGCACAAAAATGTTATATGCCACATCCTGTTGGCTGCCAAAATCAGCATAGCAAGCCATTTGAAGGGACTCAATTCCACATTTTGGACAATCGGCTGGTTATCTGAATTCTGTTTCTCGGAATAGCCATATGGATGAATCAAAAAACAAATAAAACGGACAATGGACGAACAGTGTGTGATTCGGAAGTCCAACCATGGATCCAAAAACAAAGAACTGATCGCTAGAATGATTGGCTGGGGAACAGCCACTAAATGTTGATTTTAGTCACAGATCAAGTGAGAAATGACCAATAGAAGGAAAAAGGAGAAGCAGTAACAAAAACAATATCTTTATTTATATATTTAATACATTTATAACAAATATATATATATGACAGACCACATCCCAAAGCTGAATGGATATAATGTCTTCCCTTCACATTTCCTCAGCTGCTGCACATCCCCAACCCACAATTTGCAGATAAATATGTGTAATGATGTTATTATATATGAATATATTAGTAAATATATTGTGGGTTAGCGATGTGTAATTGCTGAGATACTATCCAGAGGAGACGTGGTACATGTTCAGCTTTAATATGTGGCCTGTCCTGTGACAATGTATCTGTGACATATCTGCCAATTTTGTAATTTCTGGGAAACTTTTTTATTTTTGTAATTTTTAGAATACTTTGTCTAATAGGGGGCTTTTTAAAAATTACCCATATTATATGTTTTATCATTGGAGTGCGTAAACCAAAATCTAGGTAGATCTCATAATTAAAAAGAAATCTCTAATCACGAAAAGAACTTTAACTGCATATGGAAATGTTTAAAGGACAACGTGAAGAAAATGCACACTAAATCTTTATCTGTGCATATATTTCAAGTAAACAATGTAGTTAACTTGTTATCTCCTGACTCTGCGTGACCCATATCTGTCTGCTCCAAAGATGTGCCCACTAGATAAAAAGTAGGATATCCAACAAATATTTGTTTCACAAACTACTGGATTTATATAACATAACAAAACAAAACAAAAAAGAATCTTGCTCTCACTGTGCACCTCCTGACAAATTGAGAATATTTCATATAGGATACACCTGGCTGCACTTTAATCCACTGGTTATCATCTAAGTCAACTGAAATAGAATTATTATTCCCATGATAACAACGCTGGCAAATGATTGACTTCAAATGTCTTAGAATGTACGGCAGTGTAAAAACTGGAACATACATACAATAAAAATGTGAATATAATTTGAGTTAAATATGGCTAATTATTGCATTTTGGCAATCTGTATTTGATAAAAATATAAATGGATTTCTTCCAATTTCTTAGGCTGTGTATTTGAGCAAGTTTTTATTATAGTTTAGTCGTCTATAGTAAAATGTCTAACTGTCATTGCAAATGTTTCAAAGCTTTTTCAAATTCATTTATACACACAAACACACGTTTACATGTACATACAGATACAAATACATACATACATACATAGATACATACATACCTGTACATTAACCTGAACAAAGTATTCACATGAAATTGATGTTTTTGTTTTTTGTCCTTTTGAATATTATTCCTACATTTTAAAAATGTTGACTTCACAATGTGGACAACAACAGTATATTATCATAGCGTTAAATACTAGAATGTTATTCCATTACCTTGTGTAATGACAGAATTCGTACAGAAAGAGATAGAAGGATGCACCCATTGCTGTAATATAAGGGACACATGTAAACCCACAAAGTCATAATTCGATACTTCGAGCCATGATTGGGGAGTTTAGGTTTTGTTTACAATTAGGGGATTTTGTTTATTTCTTTTTTTTTAGGGTGGGGGGGAGGGTCATGATTTAAATGTATTTAGGATTATGAATCATCTTTAATATTCTGTATACATTTACTGCTACTACTAAGGCTACCTACCCTTAATTCTAAAGACCCCCCAACCCTTGAGTTCTTCAAGTGTGTACAAGGTCAGAACTACCAATTCTGCACTTTGTGACTCTCGCTACCCTAAACAGTGACCATTTAAAGTGTTTCCACAAAGTTGGACTCTACAGGTTTGATTAGACCAGGATATTTCTCAGTAGTGAGGTATCACAGAAATAGGAAAGAGGACAGTTGTCTCCACGATCATTATGGCAATCATGCAGAGCCTGCTGGTAGACCTCTGTTGTGAATGGTACACACTACAATCACAGTGCTCCTGTCAGTGGCGTACTAAGGGGGGGCGGGGGGGCGGTCCGCCCCTGGTGCCACCAGGATGGGGGGTGACATGACCAGCCCCGCCGGCCCCCCCCATGCTGCAGCCGCCCGAGCGCTCTGTAGAGAGCCTCAGGCAGCTGCAGCTTTGCCCGGGCGGTGCGTCCATGAAGGCGGACTGCACCGCCCGGGCGCAGCCTGAGGAGAGGCTGACAGGAGGGACACGCTCAGCGCTCCCTCCTGTCACTCCCTCACTGCAGCATGGTCCGACAGGTACAGAGAGCAGCTGTCTCCTGTACCCGGACTAACAGGAAGTGCACACTGAGTGTGCACTTCCTGTTAGTCCGGCCGGGTACAGGAGACAGCTGCTCCCTGTACCCACGGAGTATACAGGGCTCGGCCACGCTACAGCAAAGGTGGTGGGGGGG